TCAACTGAAAACATGTAAGGTGATCCCTTAAAACTGTTCCTAAAACAACTGTAAGTTTTGTGTCCTCAAATAAACAAGTAATACAGAACACTAAGGTTTTACCAATGGGATGTATTCAACCTTTTTTTTAAAGACTTAATAATTACAGAGTTCTGGAATATTAAGTAAATTCCAGCTAACATTCAGCCTTCTGCCAAATAATACTCCATCAGTAAAAAAAATATGGGTGAAATTCTGTCTCCATTTAAGCCAGCTGGAATTTTACCACGGACTTCAGTGGGGCCAAGCGAAGTCCATGATCACATAAGTGGTTAAATAGCTTCAGTGAGCTTTGAATTTTAACTAGTGAATGAATTTGAGAGAATTCCAAACAATCAAATAAATGATAAAAAGTGGATTTTTTTACAAAATTAATGGCACAATAACTAAAATGATTGCTTTTCATGGGATAAATTAAGGACTATTCTTATATTAATAGTAAATAAGATGTCTTTTATAAAACAACTGTTATGGAGCTCTTCTGAGGCAAACAAAAATTCGATAGAAAAAAAGAGAGTTCTACTTAGTACATTATTCATAGGTGTACTGGTTGAAGTCACTTATTTTCATAATTTTGCCACATCTTTAACTGTTATAAACAAGCTTTTCTATGTCTGCATTTCTTATAGAGTTCCACACTGCTAAAACCCCTCTTGCTTTTGTGTATTTGAAATGCATTTATGTCCTTGCGGATTATCAACAAACACGTTTCTTTTTCTTACAGTATTTATACACTGAACAATTCTTATTATTTCTGGTACTGCTACTCCATATGTTAGTTTTAAAAGGCAATTCTATGCATAGCATGCATTGCTCTTACAGTCTTACATTATTAATACTTCATAATGATGCCTTACCATAACCTTCAATCATGTGCCTTAACATACCTGGGTTTTGGAAATAATACTGAAGCTGTTACATTTCTGTTTATGAGCATTGGCATTCTTAACCAATATAAATTTCAGTTCATTTTCAGTCTGCTGATACGCTGCACTGGCTAAGAAATTTTGCTGCTCTAATAAGGAGATGGGAACAGCCTTTGAAGCCAGTGATCCATGAAGTCTCCATACAGGTTTTGACATATCAGAGAGATGACAGTATATCGAGCCAACCCTCCTATCGGAGAAGTTGTAAAAGACAGCACACGCATATGCACACAGTTTGTCTGTTCATCACAGCTTTGTTATTCTGCATTTTACAGATTTGCACATAGTGTGCCAATTCAAAGACCATCTATGAACTTTATTCCAGAAACTGGAAAAGGAATGTGGATTATTTTGCTGGGGCACGTCCTCCTGTGCTACATGAGTCTGCATAACAGAGGCAGGTGGCTTTCATTCTGCACAGGAACACTTCCTCCTCTGGTACAGAACTACGGTTATTTTACCTTACCCCAATTTCTGTGTTAGAAACAAGTTTTATCTCCAATGAAGTTATCATTCTGGGCCAAATCAGAATTCCTTTAATCAGTACAGTAAATTGGAATTCTGCTAAAAAGAAACAAAGTGAAACCTTTAGGGTTTGGCTGCACTATTATACAAAGACCTCCAAATAAATGAGTTTGGTGTGCTTCAGGCAAACACTCCCTGCCCTAAATAGCAATGCGTTGGTGGAATTCACTGAAAGTTTATTACAAATTCAGAACTCAATGACAATCTCACTGAAGTTAATGTGACTTGGACTATTAATCTGAGTGAGAGTGGAAGTGAGCCTTGTATTCTTCTTTCTCTCGTTCTGCATTGAATAGTGTCACCTAGATTGCCATGGAACTTTACCACAGGTAAGCTGCAAAACGTGCAGCCGCTGTTTATGTACCATTATGTATGTTTAAAATAATTCATATCTATACAGATGGCTTGGTCTTTCCAGCAGTTGCTCAAAAAGGCATAAATAGAAAAGGTCAAAATAGTAATGGATTTGGTCGTACTGAAACAAAATATTTTCATATTTGCAAAACTGGTAAAAAAAGAGATTTGTAGAGTTTTTATCATGAACATACTGTTGCTTTTCTACAGCACTTTGGAATACTACAGTCATTCACAGTTGTCACAAAAGTGGTAGACAAAGAAAGGCATATTGACAGCCTAAGTATAAGAAGGTCACAGAGCATCCTATTTTTAATTCTGAGGCTTTTATAACTTAAAAATCTATTTTAAAACTCAAAAATAAAGTGTGCTTCAAAAAAAAAAAAAAGAAATACAGAACTATACGTTTCTAAGAATGTATACTGGTTTCACTTATAGATTATATCCTGTCCAGGTTGGAATCACAACTATTATTTGCTTGCACCAGAAGAAAAATTTTCTGATTGTTTTCACTGGTTTTCTCATTACTATGAGAAAATATCCCCCCTCCCAACAATACTGAATACTATAATGAACAATACAAAGACTCAGTGTCAGGTAAGTCTCCACTTGGCCTCCTTCTCCTCTGGTTTACCTGGATGTTTCTGATTCTCTTTGGATTTCATACAGTAACAAGTAAATTGACTGAATCAACCCTTCTAGTCAATAAGTGGTGAAAAACAACACACGAACACAGAGTTGTCTTTTTATCTCAACTAAATGAGAAATCTCTTCTTTAAACATTTTTCTGGTAGAGACAAACTGCTACATAGTGACTGTGGTTAGACAATCAGCATAGACCGACTCAGCTAAACTATAGAAACTTAACTAAATACAGAATGAATTTTTCAAGACAAAAAAAAGAAATAATAAAAAAATCTGCAAACCAGTTTATTAACATTGAGAATCATTAAAAAGAAGGCTGATTTGTTTCAGAGGCCTGATAACCAGTGTTGATAAAGAGAGAAAATTCATCTCCTAGAACGTGCATGCTCACATAAGTTGCTTGATCTATGGAAGGATTAAAAAATCATCTTCTCTTAGTGGAGGGAATTGAAAATTTCTTTGCTCTGGTTGGTATAATTGTCACCAGTAAACTTAATCACTGCAGACTTAATGTGCTCAGGAAAACTTGTGACTGAATGATTAGCAAAATCCTTCCCTGAGGAAGGTACTACCGTCATGAAGAATTAATCAGGAAATGGGGGGGTGTAACTTTGTAAGGTCATGTCGAAAAGTCTTTGTATGGGAACAGGAGAAACAGTATCTGTAAACTAGGTATATTTTCTAATGCTTTACCTATTATTTGCCATAATAAATGGACAGATAATGTATTATCTATTATTTGTCAGAATGCACATCTGGTGATTGGGAAACCCGGGAATCAAAGACAGGATTTATGCAGAAATTGGTCTGTTGCATTTATTTTGTTTTGCGTTTAGTTTCTGACTTCTTGGTTGCAGTGAACTTGTCATCTGTGATCAGCAAATGACATGACAGACATTGCATAGTCACGACTTTGGACCTCTCTTCAGCTAGGTCCTCAGCCGGTTTAAGGAGTTATGCAGACTTCCCCAACGAATATTTCACCTTGCTGTCCACTCAGCTCTGGTAGCTGGTATTAAAAGACACCTCTCAGTATCCCTCGAGGGACAAAAGAGCACTGTGAATTAATTTAACCTAGCAGTTCAATCTCTACAAACTTGCTACAAACTAATGAAATTACATGGTCAAGCAATGACAGACTTGTGCTACACTTAAGCTCCTTTAATGTTAGTTTCAAACACCTAAGGTAACAAAAAGATACTTCAAGAAAGGCTTGTTGTTTCATGAATCTCTGATAAATGTAAAATTGTGGTGTTGTACTTGTATTAATGTTTCGGTAACTTCTACCATTAGGTGTCAGACAGTGGGGAAAAAAGTAGAAAAGGAAAAGACGATATATTTTCCTTTATTTGACCTTCTTTAATGGAAATCTTTGTTACAAGTTCTGTATTGAGATAACTCTTTATGAAAATTTATTTACGTTCCAATGGGTACTTTGTGCTGATTAGGTGAGAAAGGATTACCTTCTTTCCTGCTATTTATAACACAGCTAATGATTTTCTTTGGGGTGAATAGCTTCTTATTTATCTTCAGATGCTTTCCTTGACAGGGACAAAGTCAGGACAAAAAGGTCTTCATTGCTTCTTTTGCTACAAGGTAAAAATATGGGGCCGCTTCCTGTAAATGGTTCTACTCACCCAGGTATTCTTATATGTATGGGTCATATTTTTCATATAAAGGGTGTTCCCTGTCATTTTGAAGATTACAGTAGAAAGACCTATCCATTACTCAGTTATCTTAAATACTAGTGTATTTCTAAGCATCTGGTTTAAAATAGTATAGCATAATTCTGGTTTTATTAAAACGCCCTGCTATGTAACCGCCCTTCCATTTATAGTAGTTTCACTTTCAGGATAGCTGTGTTTTGGAAAAGGTTTCAAATCAGATGAATCATCAGTTCTCCTGGGAAGCACCGTTCTGCAATAAGCTGCTGGCTCTTTGCCCCATATACAGACATTTTCTAATACAGTCATTAGGACAGTTCCTATCCCTCTGTCATATTACAAAATTAATGAGTTCTTTTCAATAACTTTACAAAGCCCATAAGACATGACATAGCAAATCCTTCCTGTTTTACTTAAATAGTGAGTTTTCAACCTCTGATATAGATTGGTATTTGCAGGATCACACGTGCAAAGGAAAAGTGTCAGCCTTACAACGGATTTCTGTTGTACAGTTTGTTTGTCCTATGTTAGAAAAGCAGCTGTTTGCTGAAATTTTGTGGAAATCTCCTCAAGTATTTGTCATAAAGAACTAGTGTTTCTTTCCTGTAAGGGCAATGTATTATCCTGTTTCTCTTAACCAGTATAATATACTAAAATTATAATGAACCCATCTGCATTTAGCTTTTACATATGAAAATATTTTCATAATTGCCACATGGCTCGTCACAAATTTCTGATAACAGTAGCAATGACACATTTGTAATGGGATGTCCCAGTGCAATTCCAGCAAATTAGAAAAAAGCATAATGAAAACATGAGATAGTTTTAGCAGTAAAAATGTGCTTACCTTCATAGGTTCCACTTTCTAAGAGAGCGCCACTTTTCTCCAATTCCATAAAATCTTCAACAGTGATGAAAATATAGTCCACACCAGGGACTTCCCCCTCCTTATGTGGCCTTGTGGTGCCTATTAATAAGACAAAAGACACACTGTCAAGTACGTGACCTAAATGTAGAATGATCTTTTTGAAAGTTTTGGAAAATTTACAAAGTAAACCATTGAAAGAACACATTATATAGCACATCCTCCTTGTGAGGATGTCTTTCAAAACCATATAGCTACATTTGTTAAAGCTGACAGAGGTATTTGAGATGCATGTTTAAGATCATGCCAGAAGTTCTTTGGCTCCATATTATTTATTCTCACTAATGAAAATGCATCATACTGCTATTCTTTTTATGTTACTAGAAAGACCCTCAGTGACACCAGGCATTCAGAGGTAACACAAATCTTTGATGTGTATTTTCTATGGCCTCAAAGTCTTGTCTACAATTAATCTGCTTCATGACCTTTTAAACATTTATTTAGTACACAAAATAATAGATCTATAAGTAAATCTGTAAGGGTTATATTCACATTGCTTGTTTCAATGCCATAAGCGGACTTGATAAATGGTTAGGCTTAAGGGACTGAGTGATTCAAATCACCTGCTAACCATGCTGTCAAACTGCGAAGGTGCTTATATTTAGTTATTGCCCCTATTGCCATCTCTAGATGACAGAACTCCATAAACGCAAACAGACAATATTTCATACATGCTGAGAAGTGACTCAGCTTAGCTAGCAGAAGTTGAGATGTTAGCAGGGAAGCATCTGAATTTGACCTAATTTCCGAACGGTCCAGTTTATTGCAGTCAGGCTGTCCCTATTTGACTGAAACCACTAAATAAGTCTCAAAACTCCATTTGGAAATGGGGAAGTTTGAGGTCCTCCTCAGTCTCAGAGTGTTTGAAACATCTTAATCAATCAATTCTTCATCAATACTGTAGCGATTACATCACACTCACAGGGTTTGGTTTCAAGACTCTTGACACCGGGAAGTGGCTAGAAACCAGATCTTCCACTTCCTGGACAAAAGTTTAACATTATGATAGTGTGCAGAAGACTCTGTCTCTTCCTCAGTTATTAATCCACCACCTTAAACACTGTATCATGACTCTTATATTACGCAGTAGCGATTCAGACTTCTCTTCAGGTCAGCCAACATAAAATCTATTTTATCTACTTTTTGATGTCTATTATTCAGACATCTGCATTTAAACCTCTTGAATCATTTTGTGTGAGACTCATTGTGAGATTAAGAAAACTAAGTACAATTGTCTACATTTCTGCCATGTGTATAAACTATTACATTCAATAGAGATCTCATCAATGGTGGAAGCAAGAGAGCTGTTCAGCTGCCTACCTGCTAAGAACTCAATTCAGTTGGCCATACATAGGTCTCTGTGGGATGCCTCATATATCCATCTGAAGCTAGCAGATATGCAAAGGGCAAAATATCCCTTGCATTGCCCCAAATGCACAAAATTATCCTTTGCACTGCCCAAAATGCAGCTGTCTTAATCTCATACTGAATCCCACTCTATAGCTAGATCTAACGGAGAATTCTGTGCAACAAAGAGCACATTGGAATTGCAAGGCTCTCTCAGTGACAATGACAGGACTCCCATGCTCTCAGTGATTCCTACTGGCCAGTGCTCAGCTTTGCCAAAGCACTGGATGACCTTCAGAGTTGTCCAAAGTCCTTGGTGTCAGTGGAGACATAGAGACATAATGGTGCCTTAGTTAGGTTTTCTGGACTGCTTGTTATAGACACCTTTCTCTCCTCACAGGCAGCCTGAATGTCTATGGCAAAGACTGAAGGAGCCTGAGAAGATAATATTTCAGTAGCTAACATCAGGAATATGTTTTGATGAATCTATAAGACACTTTCCCTCATTTGTCTGATTCCAATTCCCTTTTCATCTCAACATTTAAAACTGGAACATCTTATTTGACTGTTTTTTTTTTTCTGGGAATTTCGTATTTGCAGAAATGGGTTCATTAGGATTATTACTATTGTGTTTCAGGGATGGTATGGTTAAAACACTCAGACACTTAGATTGTCCATAAATATGTTGAATTTACTCCCCATGGAATATCTGACCCCTGGAGATGCAGCAGCATCCTCAAAGATCTCCATCCCTTTGTGAGAACTGTGCAGAAGCACAGAGATTCTGGCAAGCCCCCGAGCTCCTGGCAGCTCTGCTAAGAGCAGATGTTTGATCTGTGTGCTCTCTCCTGAGGAATCTTTCACTCCCAAAGTCTATTGACAGGAACTGTATCTTCCTCATAAAACACTTTGGCAAATCAAGGCTATGTTATTCCTAGACATGGCACAGGGAAGAAGCTGGCATATTAGATGAGTACCTCTAGCTTACTGTTTCTTCAATATTTTTTTATGTAGCTAAACTAGGATTACCAGAATTTTATCAATCAGACAAAAATACACGTTACATAGAATGTGGAGGTAAGCCCTGCTTTGAGTGGAAAGTTGGACCAGATGACCTACCGAGCCCCCTCCCAGCTTAAATTTTCAATGATTCTATGATATTAAGTATTAATACACTGCAGTTTGTTTTAAACACATGGATATCAGCAGTCATATTCAGCAGGGATGACTGCAAAGTCTCACAGGAGGTCCAACAACAGACTCGGTTATCTCTATGTTTCTCTCTTTTGGTCACGGTCTTTGGTCAACTTGCCTAGAAAAGTGTAATAGACTAAATTTCAGATTCTGAATCTGTCTCTTAAATTGGAAGCCAAAGACCTGACCTTTCTGCCCTTATGTGACTTAGTCACGTTCTTTTGGATATGGTACATATATGATAACGTTTTCATATACCCTGCACTATGAATTGAATATTCTGTCTAATCTGCTTCACCTATTTCAAATGAAATGCATGGTCCACTTATAGACTAATTCTGTATCCTTAACACACAGCTTAACTCTAGCCTGTCTGTTCTCCAGTCAAATTGCTCATCACCTATCCCCACGTGTAAGGTAGCCATGAGATGTGCTGTATTTAGAGCTGCGGATGTAATAATTATTTTGTTCTATAACACTCCAAGATTTCAAATAGTTGCTATTTTGCTTCAAGCTGAAACTAAGGGATTTTTGTGGCAAAACCACAAGACCCAGAACTCCGCTTTAGAATCACCAGTGTGCTACTGTACACAGCAGCTTCTTAATTTAGTCTCCCTGAATCTCAGTTTCCCACTGATTTTCCTAGGTGACTAAATAGATACTGGTAATTCTACAGTATGTTTTCCTTTCTCCATTTCTTTTGCACCCCACGGTTTCACTAGATATCCCAGCATGGAGATGAGGTATCCTTTCTCATGAAGGTTGAATTGAAATGGGTAAATTACACAAATGAACATTTTAAAGGAAAAGCAGATTTTCTGGCATTTTTTTTTGCCAGTTCTACCTATACCTGCTAGGTCTGTCCTACAATGCCAGGAGATAATACTGTCACTCAGATGGTAACATGGAAGGTTTCAGCCTCTTTTCTTATAATCCTTAGGGAGCCTGCTCCAAGAGCTCAGCATTGTATTGTATACTGAGGGTTCTACTCCTATAAGATGTCAACTACTCACTTCCTTCAAAAAATGGAGAAAAGAGCAAACCGTGATCACTAGTTGCATGTGTTCAGGGTGACTCTTACCCCAGGTACAGCAGTTTCCATCCCCACCAGAACTTTATTGCTCTTGATAAAATCTTACTGAGTCCCATTTCCCTCCTGCATCTGTTCTCATTCCCTCAGCCTGGAGGACCTGAGATCTTGCAAACAGTTAAAGCAATTCCCTGACTAATGGAATAATCAATAGTTATTGCCTCTTTTACTCCTTCGCCCCGGAGGAACTGAGTTGCTGCTATTAATACTTCTGCTGTCCTTTATACCTTTCTGTAAGCACCATAGGGTTTGCAATGTGCAGGTTAACAGACTTGGAGGCAGTTACTGGAGAATCTGAAACACCCATCAAGATCTGAACATTGAGGTCTATATATAGGAATCTTATAGACTATAGGCAATTTTTCTTTTTCCTTGCTTTTAAACTAATGCAGTTACTGTTCTTAATAGATTTTGTCTTTAACTACATTCATATAGACAGATAAGCAGGCCTAAAACTATGGTGATTCAAGACTTAAAACAAAGGATTAATTCCAAGCCTCATATTTTTACAGAAACACAACACCTCTTGTTATACAGCATCAAGGCTTAATAGGACACACTTGCTACTGCTTATAATATTTAGCATTTTATTAACGTAAAATGAAAATAGGAACCCAGTTACCATTTTGTTACCATGGTAACATATGAAAAATAATCTTTGACTTCCATAATGAAAGAACATGATCTTGCAGGATCAAAACCAGCAAAGGATATTTGCACTATGCATATTTCTGACAAATACAATCTGTTGTTGCTGTTGAATAGAAGACACAAAAGGAGTAGCTTGCAAGTAACCACAACCAGTCCATACAAGCACGTCCTGTCACACAGTATGTAGGTACCTTAGAAATTACACGAACTTGACCTACAAAACCTGGACTGATACTGACTTTCTTTGATTTCATGAGCACTGCTTGCATCGTTCATTGATTTGCTTTCAAAAACAATATTAGAGTCATTCACTGAGCAACTACTTTGTCTGGATTTATAACTTCAAGATGGGTAGTTGTGACAGTTTAGAGGTATTTAAGCTATGTGGCAGATGTTTAAAAAAAAAAAAGTTCCTTTGCCTTTGCAGCTTGTTTCTTCTTCTGTGCTACAGTGGGGACATGGTGATTCACCATATTTGAGTGCAGGCTTTCCATGCTCAGTGTTATGTTATATGATGGTGCTATGTTTCTGGAGAGAAATAAGGTGCCATTTACATGAACAGCCTTTGAAAGAGCATTTTTCTTTTAACTGAGTATAAGGCACCTGAGGGTATAAATTTAGACACCTAAGAAATCTTTACAATCAATAAGAAAAGGAGTGTGTTAGTTTAATAGCAATAAACTATTTTTGAAATACTGCTTATATGAGCTTGGGGAACAATAAATAACATTTAACATGGAAGTTTTATGTTGACTGCTAG